AAAATTGTGTATAAGAAATCTTAGAATAGTATGAATTTTCACCTCGATGTTGAGGGGCAAAACAGGGTCGTGAAGCGAGAGTCTCAAAAGGAACCATCCTCCATAGCCCGACACCCTTACCTGTTTTATGAAGGAAATAAAGGAAACAGCAGTCCAATGTAATGCCGAGTATAGTGTCTAAAAAGGCACAAGACATAATAATGAAGAACAAAGTCCAGAAGAGAACCTGATGTTTTATTTTACCAAGCACCCCTTCAATTAGGTTGTATTTTGAAAAAAGAAAAAGAAAAAGAAAAAGAGATAAAGTACGGACCATGTGACTAAAATTAGAAAGATAATTGGAACTTCTGTAGTTAGACTAAACCTCAAAAATAACATTTGTAATAATCACTAAGATTCGAAAAAAATATAAAAAAAATCATAACACCAATATAAAGACAAACATGTTTCCCAGTAAAGTATTCTTGAGGTTTAACTCATCAGTTACTCGGCTCAATCCGAGGACTTCTATTCTAATCAATGATGTGATTATATAAACAAATCGTAACCAAATATTTTTACTTAAATTATAGAAGGGGTAGTTACAAAAGTACTCCTGATGTTCACCCAAAAAAATAAAAAATAAAAAATCAGTTTTCACTTGAATTGGCCTTAAATGGTTACCGAACCCGTATTAGTTTGTGCACAACAAATACTCCTCGAGGGTGCACTTTGTAAAAGAGAAACATACATCGCTAGGGATTTGTACATTGTGATTATGAAAGCTAGCAATAAGGTTAAACATCATGAGTAACTATTGTCATAAAAAACAACTTCCAAAATGAGAGTTTATCTTAACCAACTACAACTTACTCCTTCGTAGTTAACAGGCGCTTTTGCAAGTTTTGGATCTGAATCTACGACGTTGGTCAAATACTGCAGCACAGCTTCTCCATAATCGCGGAAAGATCTGAAAAAGAAAAAAATAATTGAAGAAAAAATGAAACCAGACCTCAACGAACAACCAGAATTGTCATTACATAGCAGCGCATAGATAATTTTACCCTCCTTTAAGATCTGCATGATTTTGGTCTATTTTAAGCCTTAGTTCAACAGCAAAACCTGGTTCCTCTAGATCATCCACCATATCAGTCAGAACCTTGCTGCCTTGACCGACCCCAGAAGCCTTCGCTGATGCCAGTTTGTTTAAAAGCTTGACCTATGAGTAATGTTAGCTCTATAAGCAAAGAATATAAGATAATTTTTTTTTTAAAGACCCAAGGGTTAAGGTATAAGAATTAAAAAAAAAAATTGACTCAAGGAGATAATTGACCTTTAACCATAGGCAAAAAAGTAACATTTATAGGCGAGGTTGAAAATTTAAGGCAATACCATCAGATATGCGCCATCATCAAGCCAGTGGTTTTCCTTCAAAGCTCCGTGGCCGCTGGTTTCAATGGCCAAGTATGATTCCTCCCCAACAGAGTTCTGTAAGAATTCCACCCTCAATATTAAAAATTAGGATAGTAGGAAAGTAATAATCATTTTTTAAGAACTCCATATGTTCTTTCACCTCAAACATTTTTCTCCAAATTGAGTGATTGTGAAGACTTAAAGAGCGAGAAACATTGGACTGTTTACTCACAGAAAGCGAAAATTGGCAGGAAAAAATGTGTTATGGGAATACAATCAGCCCGAATCATGAAATTAGCTGGAATCATGGGATCCTGGACTTTTGCCATGGAAGGTAGTCAAATTATTATCTTACCTTTTCTTTATTATCTATTACCTTATATAAATAATAATCTTAGAAAAGGGAGTGAGGTAAGTTATGATTAGACACTGAGAAAAATAATCTTAATGGCTATGCCACTGGGCAAGTTATCTTCCTGGGAAGTTTATTACTTCTGTCATTGTTATCTCATTTCTTTTATTATAATATATCTGTCTCTCCGATCCTTTACTACTAACATGACATTTGAAGGAAAAGGCAGCTAAACAAAGTATACATTCCGATAATACAACTTATAAGCAAGATTACCAGGGAAATAATCATAAAACGAGTATTACCAAACGAATAGCTTCATCAATCACATTTTTGTAGCCTCTTTTGAACCTATGATGCCTTCCACCTGATAAAATTAATTTGGCTTCAGCATGCTGATTTCCAGAAAGAATAATTATTTACTGACTATGTAACTTACCCAGCTTCTTCTCAATAAATGTAGTCAAACCATCAGATGTCACACTGTCTGTGACTATAGTAGTCCCAGGGTGCTGGTTGGACAAAACAAAACAGACATCATTTCAGGTTTGGGCAAAACATATAAGTGTGCGGAACGAATGAGTAAGTCAAAACAGACCTCCTCTAAGACAATAGCAGACATAAGAGCTATCAAACGATTCCTGTTTAACTCACGCCCAGTAGAGTCAACAGCAGCAGATCTGCCAAAATAACACGTACCATCTTTTATTAGAGACCACATCAAATGATGTACAGGTAGCCCAAGAAAAAACAAAAAATTTCAACCTATCAACATCAGTATCAAAGATGATGCCCATATCTGCCTTGTTGTCGAGCACGGCTCGAGTGATAGCTGTCATGGCTTCCTTGTCTTCCGGGTTAGGAATATGATTGGGAAAATGACCTGGAAAAACAATAGCTGATTGAGTCAGATTTAAAATAAAAAATAGACTAGCAAGGTATAAGCAGAGTCACAACCATTTAGGTCTAAAGAGATTAAACCAAAACTTGGTAACCTTTCAGAATTACAATATGCTTCCTTTGTGTTTTATACAGATTGCAACTACTAAGGGGGTAATCTTGATCAAATACATACTTCAAGAGGCAGTTGTAATTTTAAAGATGTTTCGAGTAAGTGTCAGGGTAATTCTTGTATGAATTCCTGAAAAAGTGTTTATATTCTGAATAGTCTTACCGTCCGGCTCTAGGAATTGACTTCCAGAGGTTTTAGCTCCTAAAGGCTCGAGCACCTTTCCCTGATAGGCCATTGAAAGCAAAATATTAAGTTATTAACTACTCATAGGATCTTCAATTAGCAAACGATACGGATCCAGTCCACAAGAAAATTATGTTCTGGAGTAACTGTCTGCTATAGGCTTCTTCTAAATGTTTGCATAGATGTTGACCCAACTCGCATGTGTTCCTCATAGATTGGCCAGAACATCAAATGAAGGGAAACCCATTTTTGGTCTTGAGAGTGAACATCTAATGCATATGGACATCCCATCGACAATATATCAATATTTTGACTGCATATAAACACTACTGGCCAAGAAGACGTCTTTATGTATTTGAATACATTTGAGTATCACAAAAATAGCATTTGAGTATCGTAAGTTTTTCATTGCATGCATGCAAATTGTCTCATCTTCGTGCTTTTTCATTTTCTTCTCTCTTTTAGGGGGGTGGGCGGGTGGTGGTGTTCTCTAGTTATGTTAACTTCAGTGGAAAACAGAGAAATCTGAACTTACAGCAAAGAACCCTCCTGCTCCATTCCCTGCGTCAACAACTATATGGAATCCCTCCAGTGGCTTCTCTGAAATTTTTGATAACTAACTAGAATTAAAATATTTGACTTTCCACAAAATGATGGTTATGGTTATATCACAAGAGCATAGGTCAAAAATGTTAATAGAACAGAAAAAAATGTTAATACANGATATATTTACATATCAGTGTTGATGTTTATTCAATGCAAAAACAAAAAAAGAAAAAGAAAAAAAGAAAAAAACTTTCACTCTTTTATTTGTAATGAAAAAGTGTGAATCAAAGAGCACGATCTTCTGTTTGTAGGAAATGATAATCCTCAATCTACATGGACAAGTGTACAAAGGCACACCTTTATTCCCTGCAGCTTTCCTAACGGCTGCCACCAGATCAGATGTATAAACAGACATATAATCTACTCTTTTTACAGATTTTGCGGCTTTTTTTTCCGAGTCCCTTAGACTCTCATCTGTGAAGTTTGTGTGAATATCAGCTGCATGTTCCAATATGTCTTTGATATCTGCTTTCCCTAACCCACCAGCATCAGTAAAGAACTTAAATCCATTGCGGTTGTAGGGAAGATGGCTTGCTGTCATCACAGAAAATTCATCTTTCTATTAAGAAAAAAATGCATCAAAATTACTCAGACACAGATATCTACAAGCAAAATTGAGCTTGTCTCCAAATAAATTAATAGGAGCCTTTCCACTGCTGAAAGAAGAGGTTTTCTAAACTTGGCCATTTCAGTGTTATTAATGTAAATCTAACATTGAATTGGAAACATAGATACCACAAGAACTGTGATGACGATGAATATCGCATACCTGTTATCATAATAGATCCATCGACTGGACAAAGAAATTCTTCACTTTTAGTGAGGGTGCTATTGAACATAGCTGGTGTGGATGCTAGTCTACAACACAACGGATATATATAACAGCATAATAAATTGTATAGAGGTTATTGTTGGAATCCAAAATATGGTACCCAAAGAATGAAAGAATATAACTTAAAGACAGCCATCATTTGCAATCTTTTTGACATATGGAATCACTTTCCACACTTATCCTTACAATTGTTTTCTTGCCTAAATTACCAGATTGCCTAGGTTCAATAGATTAACCGCCTTCAGTCTATCCTTTACCCCGAAGAATATGGTAGTGACTCGAATCATGAACAAAGGAGAAAAAGTAAATGTTTCAAGTCCACATGTGAGGCCAAGTGGGACATCTTGCCCCATACGATTGTTGAGCACTGGACATATTCAACTCGTAAAAGACTGCTCCACCATCATCCAACCAGAAAATAATAAATACATTACTAACTTATCCAACTTTTTGTCTCACAACCACGATAATAAATAACAATTGAGGTTCCCTCATGTAATGTCCGCTCACTTCAGTAAAAGAAGCCTACACCTATTGTTTATATTTCTAGTAAACTAGTAGTTAATCTATATGCACATATGCAAATAAAATATTAGAAATTATATGTGTGAAAATTATATTTATAATTATATATTATAAAATATATAATATACATATCACATTTTATAAATTTGATCATTAGTATATATGAGCAATATAATTTAATATTTTACTTATATATGAATCACTATATAAATGACATAAAATATAAAGAATAATATATTTCTTATAAATTTAAGAAATCGTGACCAATTAATTAGTTGAAAAAATTATATTATTTTTGTTATAGCAATTGTTTATACAATGTTAAGGCATTTGATTTGCTATGCCATTAAAATCAATTAGCCATTAAAAAAACTTAATGAGATTGAATTAAATATTAACTTTAAAATAAATTCCTTGAAGAAAAAAATTTGCTATAATTTTTTTATAAGTGGATAGCTTTTATAAATTTTTCGTGTGAATTTATAATTAGTTAATATTAGTAATAATTATTATATGAAAAATAAGTTAAAAAAATTAATATTACATTTAAATAATGTAAAATGTAACGGTCACTTTCCATAAATAAATGAAAAAAAAAGAGCGGGAAAATAACATTAA